CGGGAGCCCCGTCTGTGAGTGAATTGCGAGGAAGTCTCAGGCGGGAGCCCCCTCCCTATGGGGCCCGCACTTCATGTTGGTAATCCGAGCGGGTCATCCGCAACGTGCAACTGTCGTCACTTTTGGGCTCTTGAGACCTGAATATGGAGGAAGTCTCGAGCGGGAGCCTCGTCTGTGAGTGAATTGTGAGGAAGTCTCAGGCGGGAGCCCCCTCCCTATGGGGCCCGCACTTCATGTTTGAATCCGAGCGGGTCATCCGCAACGTGCAACTGTCGTCACTTTTGGGCTCTTGAGGCTGAATATGGAGGAAGTCTCGAGCGGGAGCCTCGTCTGTGAGTGAATTGCGAGGAAGTCTCAGGCGGAAGCCCCCTCCCTATGGGGCCCGCACTTCATGTTCGAATCCGAGCGGGTCATCCGCAACGTGTAACTGTCGTCACTTTTGGGCTCTTGAGGCCTGAATATGGAGGAAGTCTCGAGCGGGAGCCTCGTCTGTGAGTGAATTGCGAGGAAGTCTCAGGCGGGAGCCCCCTCCCTATGGGGCCCGCACTTCACGTTCGAACCGAGCGGGTCATCCGCAACGTGCAACTGTCGTCACTTTTGGGCTCTTGAGGCCTGAATATGGAGGAAGTCTCGAGCGGGAGCCTCGTCTGTGAGTGAATTGCGAGGAAGTCTCAGGCGTGAGCCCCCTCCCTACGGGGCCCGCTTCCTGAGGCGCTGGCCGAGGCGGCGACGGCGCTGAAGAATTGATTTGCTCGCCCCGACGAGGGGGAAGGGGAGGTGCACATGGAGAAAAGGCAGGGGGATGAGGAGGGAAGGGGCATGGGGGAGGCCGACGACGTGGAGGAGGTGGCGCGAGAGGAGGAGGTCAGCATCACCATCACCATCGCACGATCACTCACCATCATCGGCACCGAACGATCATCATCATCATCATCATCATCATCATCATCATCATCATCATCATCATCATCATCATCATCATCATCATCATCATCAGCATCAGCATCATCATCATCATCAGCATCAGCATTAGCATCATCATCATCATCATCATCATCATCATCATCATCATCAGCATCATCGTCATCATCATCATCACTACTCGCTGACTTGAGGCCTGAATATGGAGGAAGTATCAGGCGGGAGCCCCGTCTGTGAGTGAATTGTGAGGAAGTCTCAGGCGGGAGCCCCCTCCCTATGGGGCCCGCACTTCATGTTGGTAATCCGGGCGGGTCATCCTGAAACCTGTAACTGTGGTCATTTTTGCGCTCCTGAGGTTTGATTACTGAGGAAGTATCAGGCGGGAGCCTCGTCTGTGAGTGAATTGTGAAGAAGTCACAGGCGGGAGCCCCCTCCCTATGGGGCCCGCGCTTCATGTTCGAATCCGAGCGGGTCATCCGCAACGTGCAACTGTCGTCACTTTTGGGCTCTTGAGGCTTGAATATGGAGGAAGTCTCGAGCGGGAGCCTCGTCTGTGAGTGAATTGCGAAGAAGTCTCAGGCGGAAGCCCCCTCCCTATGGGGCCCGCACTTCATGTTGGTAATCCGAGCGGGTCATCCGAAACGTGTAACTGTCGTCAGGCTTGGGCTCCTGAGGCCTGAATATGGAGGAAGTCCCGAGCGGGAGCCTCGTTTGTGAGTGAATTGCGAGGAAGTCTCAGGCGGAAGCCCCCTCCCTATGGGGCCCGCACTTCATGTTCGAATCCGAGCGGGTCATCCGCAACGTGCAACTGTCGTCACGTTTGGGCTCTTGAGGCCTGAATATGGAAGAAGTCTCGAGCGGGAGCCTCGTCTGCGAGTGAATTGCGAAGAAGTCTCAGGCGGAAGCCCCCTCCCTATGGGGCCCACACTTCATGCTCGAATCTGAGCGGGTCATCCGAAACGTGTAACTGTCGTCATTGTTGTGCTCTTGAGACCTGAATATGGAGGAAGTCTCGAGCGGGAGCCTCGTGTGTGAGTGAATTGCGAGGAAGTCTCAGGCGGGACCCCCCCCCCCCCCTTATGGGGCCCGCACTTCATGTTCGAATCCGAGCGGGTCATCCGCAACGTGCACCTGTCGTCACTTTGGGGCCCTTGAGACCTGAATATGGAGGAAGTCTCGAGCGGGAACCTCGTCTGTGAGTGAATTGCGAGGAAGTCTCACGCGGGAGCCCCCTCCCTACGGGGCCCGCTTCCCGAGGCGATGGCCGAGGCGGCGACGGCGCTGAGGAAAATGGATTTGCTTGCCCCGACGAGGGGAAAGGGGATGTGCACATGGAGAAAAGGCAGGGGGATGAGGAGGGAAGGGGCATGGGGGAGGCCGACGACGAGAGGGAGGTGGCGCGAGAGGAGGAGGGGGAGGAGGAGGAGGAGGAGGAGGAGGAGGAGGAGGAGGATGAGAAAGAGGAGGAGGAAGAGAAATAGAAGGGGGAAGACAGGGCAGTGCAGGGGGCGAGAGGAGAGGGTGTCCGCCAGGGGGAGGAGGAAAGGGCAAAGGGTAAGCTAAACAGATTCTCATGTGGGGTCCTACCGTCGGAGTAATTTTCTCTGCGCACCCTCCGCGCAGGATCTTTCCTCCTCCTCTTCTTCCCTCTCCTCTGCTCCTCTTTGCTTCCTCCTCCGCATCATCATCACCATCACCATCACTCCCCACTCATCATCATCATCACCATCAGCATCACCATCACCATCGCACGATCACTCACCAGCATCGGCATCGAACGATCATCATCATCATCATCATCATCATCATCATCATCATCATCATCATCATCATCATCATCATCATCATCATCATCATCATCATCATCATCATTATCATCACTACTCGCTGACTTGAGGCCTGAATATGGAGGAAATGTCAGGCGGAGTCTCGTTTGTGAGTGAATTGTAACGAAGTCTCAGGCGGGAACCCCCTCCCTATGGGGCCCGCACTTCATGTTCGAATCCGAGCGGGTCATCCGCAACGCACGTTTGGGCTCTTGAGACCTGAATATGGAGGAAGTCTCGAGCGGGAGCCTCGTCTGTGAGTGGATTGCGAGGAAGTCTCAGGCGGGAGCCCCCTCCCTATGGGGCCCGCACTTCATGTTCGAACCCGAGCGTCATCCGCAACGTGTAACTGTCGTCACCGTTGGGCTCTCGAGGCCTGAATATGGAGGAAGTATCAGGCGGGAGCCTCGTCTGTGAGTGAATTGTGAAGAAGTCTCAGGCGGGAGTCCCCTCCCTATGGGGCCCGCACTTCATGTTCGAATCCGAGCGGGTCATCCGCAACGTGCAACTGTCGTCACTTGTGGGCTCTTGAGATCTGAATATGGAGGAAGTATCAGGCGGGAGCCTCGTCTGTGAGTGAATTGTGAGGAAGTCTCAGGCGGGAGTCCCCTCCCTATGGGGCCAGCACTTCATGTTCGAATCCGAGCGGGTCATCCGCAACGTCTAACTGTCGTCACGTTTGGGCTCTTGAGGCCTGAATATGGAAGAAGTCTCGAGCGGGAGCCTCGTCTGTGAGTGAATTGTGAGGAGGTCTCAGGCGGGAGCCCCCTCCCTATGGGGCCCGCACTTCATGTTCGAATCCGAGCGGGTCATCCGCAACGTTTAACTGTCGTCACTTTTGGGCTCTTGAGGCCTGAATATGGAGGAAATCTCGAGCGGGAGCCTCGTCTGCGAGTGAATTGCGAAGAAGTCTCAGGCGGGAGCCCCCTCCCTATGGGGCCCGCACTTCACGTTGGTAATCCGAGCGGGTCATCCTGAAACCTGTAACTGCTGTCACTTTTGCGCCCCTGAGGTTTGATTACTGGGGAAGTATCAGGCGGGAGCCTCGTCTGTGGTGAATTGCGAGGAAGTCTCAGGCGGGAGCCCCCTCCCTATGGGGCCCGCACTTCATGTTGGAATCTGAGCGGGTCATCCGCAACGTGTAACTGTCGTCACTTTTGGGCTCTTGAGGACTGAATATGGAGGAAGTATCAGGCGGGAGCCTCGTCCGTGAGTGAATTGTGAGGAAGTCTCAAGCGGGAACCCCTTCCCTATGGGGCCCGCACTTCATGTTCGAATCCGAGCGGGTCATCCGCAACGTCTAACTGTCGTCACGTTTGGGCTCTTGAAACTTGAATATGGAGGAAGTATCAGGCGGGAGCCTCGTCTGTTAGTGAATTGTGAGGAAGTCTCAGGCGGGAGTCCCCTCCCTATGGGGCCCGCACTTCATGTTCGAATCCGAGCGGGTCATCCGCAACGTGCAACTGTCGTCACTTTTGGGCTCTTGAGACTTGAATATGGAGGAAGTCTCGAGCGGGAGCCTACGGCCCAGCCCGAAGGTTTGTCCCGACGGCTTCGCGATCTAGCCGTCGGCAGACGCGCGCGCGCTGGCCGAGGCGGCGACGGCGCTGAGGAAAATGGATTTGCTTGCCCCGACGAGGGGGAAGGGGAGGTACACATGGAGAAAAGGCAGGGCGATGAGGAGGGAAGGGGCATGGGAGAGGCCGACGACGAGGAGGAGGTGGCGCGAGAGGAGGAGGAGGAGGAGGAGGAGGAGGAGGAGGAGGAGGAGGAGAAAGAGGAGGAGGAAGAGAAATAGAAGGGGGAAGAGAGGGCAGTGCAGGGGGCGAGAGGAGAGGGTGTCCGCCAGGGGGAGGAGGAAAGGGCAAAGGGTAAGCTAAACAGATTCTCATGCGGGGTCCTACCGTCGGAGTAATTATGTTTAAGGTATTTTCTATTTTTCGTCGAAAATCCCCCTGTAGGGGGGCAGGCCCGACTTAAGACTGGGGCGGGGCTTCCAGGAGCTCCGGGAAGACCAGGGAGCCGGGAACCTGCAGGGGCGTCCAAAGGGGGGCCCCTGGGCGACGGACCCGCGGGTTCCCATATCGGCAAGCAAGCAAGCAAGAAGTCATACACCCGGAGGAGCGTAGGACACTGGACTGGAAAAATGCTGCGGGCCAAAAACTCAAACTCGGACCGCGCGGCGCTATACGGTCAGCTTTGCTGAGCGTGCGAATTGCCGCCAGGAAACTTCGTCGTCAGCCAAGAGTGGGTTTAACTTTGATATGCCGCCTGCCGCAGCGCAAGCGACTCGTAGCACCTGGGTTGTCCAATCTGCGCGTGGCCGGCCTACCTTTCTCACGTATCGGTCTGCTGCCGGCCTGAAACTTCCAGAACAAAAGGTGGGGGGTGATTGAGTTTGTTCCCCCCTGGCTTGGCTTGCAAAAATATAGAAGTGAGAATGGATTCACGAAAACCGATGCGATGGGGGGAAATCCAAATGAAGCTGGACGAAAAACTGAGCAGGCAGCAGCTGGGGTGGGCAGGGTGCCAGGTTGAGCCCTCTCCGAGCGGGGGTTGGTTTGTGCAGTGTGGCCTCGGTACACGGCTGATTGTGAGAATAGCTGTGCTAATTACACGGTCGGCGACCCACAGTTGAGCAGTTGCCCCTCCGCCGAAGGGCCAACATGGCCTCTGCTGTACTCAGTTGTATATATACGACCACCCTGCGGGTGATAAGGAGGTTGGGGGGGAGGGTCCCAGCAATGGGCAACAGTTGTGATTGTTGTTGTGACGATGCCAATGGAGAGTGTTGCGTTGCCGCTCGCTCTTGAGAGCGTCGGTGTCGAGTTGTTTACATCACCCAACGTTAGTTGGCGCCTTGGTACCATTCGTCCCTCCCCCTGGGAACCTGCCCAACCTGATCAACGGCAGCCAACGGCGGAATGTGGTCACAGAATCATCATCAACAACAACACGGGTCGTCATCATCATCATCATCATCATCATCATCATCATCATCAACAACAACAACATCAACATCATCAACATCATCATCACCACCATCACCATCACCATCACCATCACCATCACCATCACCATCACCATCACCATCACCATCACCATCACCATCATCATCATCATCATCATCATCATCATCATCATCATCATCATCATCATCATCATCATCATCATCATCATCATCATCATCATCATCATCATCATCATCATCATCATCATCATCATGATCATCATCGTGATCATCATCATAATAATCATCGTCTTCAGCACCATCATCATCACCATCACCATCATCATCACCATCATCTCCATCAGCATCATCATCATCAGCATCATCATCATCATCAGCAACATAAACATCATCATCAGCATCATCACCAGCATCAGCATCAGCATCAGCATCAGCATCAGCATCAGCAGCAGCAGCATCAGCATCAGCATCAGCATCAGCATCATCATCATGAGCATCAGCATCATCAGCATCAGCATCAGCATCAGCATCATCATCATCATCATCATCATCATCATCATCATCATCATCATCATCATCATCATCATCATCATCATCATCATCATCATCATCATCATCATCATCATCATCATCATCATCATCATCATCATCATCATCATCATCATCATCATCATCATCGGGACACCGGCGGGACACCGACGGGACACGGGCGGGACACCGGCGGGACACCGCGGGCCCCCAGACGCCCGGACGGCAATCACTTGGTCCAGCCGCGCCTCAGCCACACGGCACCCCAGCGGGACACCGGGCGGGACACCGCGGGCCCCCAGACGCCCGGACGGCAATCATTTGGTCCGGCCGCGCCTCAGCCACAGGAGACTTTCTCTCGCCCGCCCACGCAGCTTCGCCTCGCCCGCACGCACGGCACGCACGAACACGAAACCGAAATCGATTTCCCCGTAGGGGGGCTCTCCGTTCCACTTCGATCTCACCCACCAACCTCCGACAGAGGTCCTGGCTCGGGGCGTCGGGCGTGGATGCCAGAGTGAGACTGGTTTTCATTCCGTCTCTCCCTGATCCTCCCTCCTCCTCCCAGCGTAACGATAGTCACGAGCATGCATTCAAACTGGTTGGGAACCCTGGTGGGAGCACCCCGTCCACCTCGAGTGAGACGGTGTCGATGAGAGGAGTGCTGCGAATCGGCGGTGGGAGAAAAAAGAAGCAGCCGATGATAATAAGGGAAAGCAAGACACACACACACACACACACACACACACACACACACATACACACACACACACACACACGGTGACGCGTAGATGTAAAGGCGAGGAAGGAACACGGAAGCCCAAATGAAGAAGCACGCGCTCCCTCTCCAAAGGACGGGAACTACGCTCGAGCACCAACACACAGATGCTGTCCATCGTCCTGGGAAAGGATCGGTAAGCATAAACGCCCCTCCTGGCTTGGCCAGGGAGACACGCACGCACATACACGCACACACACAAACACACACACACACACACCTACGCACACACGCACGCACGCACGCACGCACGCAAACACACACACACACACACACACACAAACAAACACATACGCCGATCCTGGCGTGGATCGTTCGATCTTGCACGATCATGGCATTTCGACAGCGCCGATCGTTCCATATCGCCGAGCTCCAAAACACTGGCTGGCGTTGTACATTGAACGCCCGCCCTGAGGTCGCCGCCGCGTCAACGCGGCGCTAACCTGCCATAACTATCCACACAGGCACGAACCTGCCGTATCTGCTTCGATCCCGTCGCCCCAAATTCCTGGTCCACAGGACCGCTGTCCGCCGCAGCCGCCTGCCGCCCGCCAACGGGGGGCTCGCCTGCGACGGCCTCAGCCTCGGCGCCAGTAGGCCGGCAGGCCACAAGCCCCTCGGAGGCCTCCGAGGCCTCAAAAGCCTCGGAGACCTCGGAAGCCTGGCAGGCCTCTGCCTCGACGGCGGCGGGCTGGGCGATGGCGGACGCCACGGGGGCTTCGGCCCCGGCGGCAACCAGCAGGCCCCCGGCTGGCGCCGCTGCCGACTCGGCGGCCGGCTGGTCGGCAGCGGCGCACGCCTCAGAAGCCTCGGCCTGGGAGGCCGCTGGCGGCTCCGCCGCCACCGCCCCGGCGCCCGCGGCGGCCGGCTGGCAGGCAGCAGCGGGCGCCTCGGCCTCGTCGGCTGCCGACGTGCCCGATGCCGGCTCCGCGGCGCCTGCGGTGGCCGGCTGGCCCCCGTCGGCGAGCGCCTCGGCGGCCTCGGCCTCGGGCGACTGCGGCGGGCGGCAGGCGGGCACCTCCACCGCCCCGGCAGGCGCCACGGCGGCCTCCGGCTCGGCTCGGCCCAGCTGGTCGCCCCCGGAAGCCTCGGCCTGGACGGCCGGGCGGGCGCCGCTGGGCTCCTCGGGGGCCTCGCGGTCCGCAGCCTCTGGCCAGCTGGCGATAGTCGCCTCGGTCGGGCACCCCGCCCCCCCCCGAGGCCTCGCTCTCCCCATCCCAGGCCTCCGGCGCATGGAGCAAAGAGTCCAGGCGGTCGGCTTGACGCCATGGTTGGCCTCTGGAGGCCTGCTGCGCCGGGCCTCGAGACCGTCAAGGAACAACAGCGGATGAAAAACCAGCCCTGGGGAAGTGGTCGAGATGTCCTGGGGCCCACGCGTCGAACATATCGAAGCGCTGGACGACTGGGCTGGACTCCGCGGTCCGCCTGCCTGGTCAGACTACTGCGGCCCTGGTAGTGGACCCCTTGACGGCGGCCATGGCCTGGAAGTGTCCACGTACTATCTGGAGACATGTCTCTACCCCACGGACGCTTACCATCCTGACCAGCACCCCCACCTCAAACCAGGTGCGGCCACACAGCGGAGCCTGGAGGGTCCACGGGGAAGGCAAGCGAGAGATCCGAACTTGAGAAAGCTACTTCGCTCTCGGCCCCTACCAGTCCCCTCGCCCCTCCCAGGCATCGTCCCAGCCAGCCCCCGAGCCGAGCGCGAGCGCGATACGGGGGCACGCGATTGTCCTCTCGCGCCCTGGTGAGCGACGCGGGAAACGAGGCCTTGCGCACCAAGGCACAGCGACCTGACGCGGCGGCTCACGCAGGGCGCCACCGCGGTGCAGGCCGCCAGCGCGGCGCACCTCGTGTGCAGGCGCTTGTGTGCGACCTTTACTCAAGATCGCCCAGATGGGGTCGGAGCAGCTGGGGTCGGAGGACCGCGCCACATCGCCGATGCATCGCCGATGCATCGGCAGAGCACCGGCGATGCATTGGCGGCGGCGGCGGCGGCGATGCATGGGCGGCGTCGGTGTGGAGAAGCTCGGGCTCCACCACATCGACTCGCATCGCAAATACTTCGGTGCTGCGGCGCGACCCTCCGACCCCACATGGGAGGCACGGACTTACGCAGGTAGCCTGCGCGCACACGCCTGTCCTCGCAAGCCCGCCTCCCTGCCCAAAACGTTTACCTGCGGTCTGCTTCGTCCCAGCGCGCACGGGCCCGCCTGCTCCGGCTGGCCGCCCGGCGAGGCCACCGGCGGCGCCGCCGAGAGTCCGAGCGCCTCGGGCTGGGCGAGAGAGCGGCGGACCCCAGGAAGCAAGATGGAAAAAAGGCCGCGAAGCGAATCTACACTCACTTTTTTGATCTGCAGGGCGAGAGCGAACCTCTTCCGCTGAAAGCTAAGCGGGGCGCGCACAGCTTTAATTAGCAGAGAACGGGCGGACGGAAGGAGGCGGGGCCTCACGCGGCCGGGAGAGGGCGAAGCCCAGGGATCAGGCGGTGCCGAAGTTGACGTGCAGGAAAAGGAACACCTTGGACAGGAGCCCGGTGGTGAAGCCCCGGGAGGAAGAAAGCCAGTGGTGGTGCCGTCAGCGGCGCTTCGAAAACACCAGCGAATCTACACTCACACGAGAGCAGGAAAACCCTGGAGTCCCGCACGAGGTCCCCAGGGAGTGGAGGATCCACTCGAGGGCGCGCCCACGACGGCGACGGACGGCGGACGACGACGAAGGCGTGTCCAGCGGGCGCGCCTTCGCCACGCCAGCAGGCACCGCCGCGGCTATCTCGGCGCGATCCTGGCTGGCGGGCGCGGCGGGGGGGGGTCGGAAGCGGCCAAGAGGGGGTGCAAATCATGACTGGCGGCATGTGCGCGGCCCAGCGGGGGGGCCAGGGACGTAATGAAATAAGAAGAGGCGCCATAAAATCTGGGGAAATATCATGGACCCCGCCATGATATCCACCCCCCCCCCCTAGTCATCACCCCCCTCTTTTCCGCCCCCGAATGTGGTGGTGCAAACACATGCCGCTTCACTGCCAGGGGAACCGATGACCCCGGGCCCCAGCAAGCCGTGGATGTGTACATCCTCGGGCGCGAGGGGGGGGCAAAGGATGTCTGCACCCAGTGGCTCCTGGGGCCACGGGCCATCGGCCTCCTGGGCGGTGAAGATGTGGCCGGGCGGCGGCGGGAGGGGAAACAGGACGCGCGGCGGGGGATGGGGGGGACAACGGGGGGTAAAGCTCGCTCGAGGAGTCGCGTTTCCACTCGCGAGGTCTCTCGGGGGGCGAGGGGGAGCCCGTTCGAGGAAGGGGAAGAAAGGGAGGAGAGGGGGAAAGGAGGACAGGGGGAGAATGATGATGATGATGCTGATGCTGATGCTGATGCTGATGCTGATGCTGATGTTGATGCTGATGCTGCTGCTGATGATGATGATGATGATGATGATGCTGATGATGATGATAATGATGATGAAGATGATGGTTATGATGATGATGATGATGGTGATGATGATGATGGTGATGATTGCGATGAGGCTGATGCTGATGTGACGATGATGATATTGATGATGGTGGTCTTGATGATGACGGTGGTGCTGATGTTGATGGTGATGGCGACGATGATGGTGATGATGATGGTGATGGTGGTGGTGATGATGATGTTGCTGCTGGTGGTGATGGTGGTGATGATGGTGATGATGAGGATGGTGGTGCAAATCCTTCAAACGAGGACGGGCGGGCTTGGGAGTTTGATAACAAACATACGTTCGTGCGGCCCTTCCTCAGTATCCAACACAACACACACACACACACACACTACAGTTGTCTCTACTCCGAAGACGATGACCATGGTCATTGTGTTATTTGTACGGCAGAAGAGAACGGTGGCACGAAGCGTTTGCAATGATTCCGAGAACGCATCGAGCACGAGCAGACAGCCTTGACGCACATTTGGCAAAACTACATCACGGCTTCAGGCCGCAAATCATCCACATACTGGACCGAAGCAACTCGTCAGTAGCGCATCGAATGGATTCAGCCGTCGGGTCGGCAACCCTGATAGCGAAACGTACCGATGCAGATTTGCACACGACGCCGTTACCCGCTCAGCCGTCGAAGTCGCGGCGATCCCGCCCCGAAACAGATCGCGTCTTGGAATTGGGGCAGCACTGCGCCCTTATCCATCGGAGCTGTGAGCAAAAGCCAAGTGAACACACGAGCGACCGACCGCGTAGCCGATCCATACTCGCAGAAGCCGAGGTCAACTTGGAGAAACGAGGGATATCGGACAAACTGCCGCCAATCAGGAAGGGCCCGAACCATGCTTGGCCTCAGGTGCTCGAAACGACACAGGGACAGCGTGCTTGATGCACGCACGAATTCGTCCGACAAAAGCAACGTTATCTCGACATTGTCGATCCAAACCGTCGGCATCTGAACAATGTCGCCCACGGGGGCCGACCGCACCCACGGTTCGGGCGGACAGGCGGCGACCCCGACTCCATCCTGGAGCCCCTCGGCAGCGAAAGCCAATACGCGCAGAGCGCCGAAGATCGGATGATTTGCGTGGGACACCCCAGAACGAGCGCGGGACACCCCAAACCATGCGCCAAGCGTGGGACACCCCAAACCAAAACGGCCAAACGCTTTACAAATCGGGGCCCCGAGAGGCCCAAGCACTGGCGAAAAGAGGCGACGTCGGCGGGGCGCCCAGCGGCGGGCACGTCGAATGCAGCCCCATGCGAGAGCCCACCTCCACGTCAGACCAGGCGCCCGCCTCGCGGCCGCTGGCGCGGGGCTCGCAGCCTGGCGGGGCACGCTCAGCGGGAAGAAGCCCGAAGCGAACACAATCCCGATCAGCTCCGTGAGTTTCCCGAAGCCAGAAGCGAGCGCGATAAGTTCCGTGGGCTTCTCGGAGACTTGATCCCCGAAAGCGGCTGCGCCGGGCGGCACATCCGCGATACCCTGCCGCGCGCGTTTTCCGCGCCGCCTCTGCTGCCCGAAACTCATCGCCCCCTCTACTTCGCATCCGCTATCGAGCGAGCTCCAATCAACAAGTCGCGCGAGGCCTGCCACGGCGGAGGGCGCACAACCATCACTGCAGCCCGAGCGCCAGCGGCGCCCGACGGAGCATCGCGCGCACGTCGGTAGGCACGAGGTCCCAGAGGCTCGCACCCGCGGGAGCGCTTAGCGCCACGGCGCGCAGCGCGGGCCAGAACTCCACGGCGCCCACCAGCATTGACTCGCTCGTCAACCCCCGTCTTGCCAAGGCGGCCCATCTTCCGCGATGATACCCCACAAGGCGAACGCCGACTTCGCAATCGGCAGCGCCAGCGACCTCGCCAGCAGACGGTAGCCCTCCGACGGCCCAGGCTGCGCGCGGAAGACGGGCGCGACAAAATCGGCCATCCTGGGCAGCTTCACCCACATTATCCCCCCCGCCACCAGCATCACCGCGACGAGCGGCAATGGCGGGCGCATTCGTGGAGGGGCGAGGCGGCGCAAGCCGCCTTGCGCCCAAGAGGCGCGGGGCAATGGCCGCCGCCCGATCACGGGGCGAGGAAGACAGCGCCGAACTGCCGCCGAAGTCGCGCACCCCTCGGCAGGGCCGAAGCCGCCCTGGGCAAAGTCGGTCAAGAAAGCCACCATCACGCGCCCAGCAGGCCCACCATGCTGCGGTCGCGCCCGCGCCCGCGCATCCATTCCACGAACCTCTCCGCGCGGCGCTGGCAGCGGGGCCTCGCGGCATCCGCGGCGACGGGCGGCCCCGGGAATCCGATGGCCCCGTCGGCCAGCTACCCCAAGCGAAGATGGGCGAGCGCCTGCGCGGCCACCGCCGCCCCGCGCCTGCGCGCGAGCACCCGGGGCCGCTGCTTCTACCTCGAAGCCTCGCCGAGGACAACCCTTTGGAGCCACCATGGCCCCCCAAATAGCCGCCGAATTCCAAAGGAGTTGCGCGGCAATTTTTTGTTGTTTAAAACATGCAGCGCTGGGCGCGTAGGCCAGCCTGCAATGCCCCCTGACGAGCATCCACGTTGAACCAAAAAATTACCGCGGTCGTCGCCATGGTCACCTCCAAAGCCACAAGATAACAAATGTTACAATCATCGTCGGGCTGAGGTCAGGTCAGCCTGCGTCGCCGCACATCGACTCTTTGCCGCAGCTGAGTGATGCGAGCTCACAGCAGCATTCGTCGACAGCTGTCAAAGCAAAACCGCCGAAATGGTCCTTGAAAGGGCCGCCAGGAGGGCCGCCGAAATTGCCGCCGAAATCGCCGCCGAAAATGCCGCCGAAATTGCCGCCGAACTTGCCGCCGAACTTGCCGCCGAACTCACCGCCGAAATTGCCGCCGAAGTATCTGCGAACTCCGCCAAAATAGCCGCCGGAATTCAGCCGCCGAAATCGCCGCCGAAATTCAGCCGCCGAAGTGTTCATTGCCCCGTCGCAAGCGAAATCGCTGCTCTATAAGCACGATGACGCCGCGGACACAGGCATATAGAGTCACAGCCAAGGTCAGGCGGCAATTTCGGCGGCAATTCCGGCAGCCCTTTCGACGGCTCCTTCGGCGGCCCCTTCGGCGGCAATCTCGGCGGCCCCTTCGACTGCTCTTTCGGCGGCCATTTCGACGACGTTGCTTTTGCCAACTGTCGACAATGGCTGCCGGCAGCTCTCGGCGCTCGGCGGCCCCAGCGGGCCCTGAGAGGGCCCTCGAAGGGCCTCGCCAGAATTTCGCGGCGCAGCCAGCCGTCGCCGCGACGCGGAGCAGGACGACGACGACGACGACGGCGACGGCGACGGCGACGGCGACGACGACGACGACGACGACGACAACGACGACGACAACATGACGACGACGACGCCGACGGCGACGACGACGACGATGACGACGACGACGACGACGACGACGGCGACGGCGACGACGACGACGACGACGACGACGACGACACCCGCGCGGCGGCTCAGGGGGCGGGCCTCGGGCGACATGGCCGCCAAGGCGCCGGCGCTCTTCTCCTCCAGCGGGGGTGGGAGGAGGGGGAGGCGCCTTCACCGTGAGAGATCGCTCTGGGGCTCCAAGGGGAGGAGGGGGGAGGGAGGAGCCGGAGCAGGAGTCGTGGGCGCCTTCACCTTGAGAGATCGCTCTGGGGCTCCAAGGGGAGGAGGGGGGAGGGAGGAGCCGGAGCAGGAGTCGTGGAGTAGAGTGGGCACCGCTGCGGATGCAGGATAATTACCCACTTACAGAAACGACTTGGGCCTCGGGCCCTTCGAGCGTCGACTCGGGACCTCGGGGATTAAACCCCGCTTAACCCTGCAAACGCATTCCATACCCGTACTAGGCATCATACCTGCACAACCACTTTTGAAGCAATAAAGAGCCTGATCGGCTATTGTCCCACACTTCGAGCATAGTCAGACCTGAAGGGTCGGATGAACATTCAGAGTGTGCGTCATGTGAGCCAAACACTCCGCGGTATGAATTCGAACCCCCGTGGTAGGAAAAAACATCACATCAACATCATACAACCTCGGACACTCAGACTGTCAGAATTCTTCTTTCACAATGGCGAGGGTGGCTGATGGATGGCACCGCAGGCGCCCCCTCTGAAAATCAGATCACACGTGCTTAGAAAACAGATCGGCGACGGCAGCAGCTGACGGGAGGGGGGTGGAGGAGGGGGGGGGCAATCACTAGAACCCCTCCAAAAATCCCACCAGCCCCTTGGGCGCAGGTGGTCTAACGATTACTTTCTTTCCTCGTGCAAAAACTGTTCTTCCCCCTAGCCCCTCCCCTGGACCAGAGGGCGGATGCTTTTCAAAATGTGGTCCTCATTTTAGCGCCGCGCACATTCGTTTAATCTTCAAGAGTTTCACGGATTCCCATCATCAACGCACCAGAGATAATGTTGTGGAAGGATTCAGGATTATGCGGGTGCACCAGTTACGCTGATTCTCTGTGTTGAAGTCCTAGGAATGGCGTTCTGGCACGATTCAGGATCGTCAAAACGCAAGTCAGGTTGATTCGTGGCGTCGGAATCTCGATAACAATGTTTTGGCATGCTTCAAGGTCTTCAAACGGGTGTCTTCCAACGAGGCAGTTCCATATGGAAATGAACCATTGTAGGGGCCTATGGAGAGGGAGGTTAGAAGCAGGGTTCACTCCAACATCGCTGATGACTCTTGGGTTTACACTGGTCCTCCTCCTCCTACTCCTTCTCCTCGTTCTCCTTCTCTTTTCTGGTTCTCTCCCACCTGTTCCCCCAAGGCGGTCCACGACGGCGGGGGGCCACATAGTCCGATAGCTTGGCCAAACCTCAGCCCAACGTTTCGCCGAATGGACGTTGCCTCAGGGCAGGGGGAGATCGTGACTCGCCGCAGGCGTCTTCGACAGTCCCCACACGTCCCCCGGCCGGTTCCGCCAGCGGTCTGGTGGAGCTCCTCGCCCATCAGCACCAGCAGCTGCCCCGCCTCCTCCCGAGGCACGCCGCGCAGCAGCAGGGCAACCTTGAGGGCACGCGGGCGAAGAGAACGGAAGGGCACAGACCGAGTTCGCCGAAAGAACGCCGACGAGTAACTCTGTACGTATGTGTATCCGCCGGCCCCCTTGCGGGGCCACCAGGCTGCGAGGATGAGGATTGCAGCTCCCTGTTCCAGTCGCAGCTTCCAGTTTCCACGGTTACAGTCCTGCTTTCTGCTTCCTTACTGTTAAGTGTTGCTGAACGCGCGAGGGGGGGGAGCCCCAAACCAGCTTTTTTCCCACGCCCAAATCGCGTTGTCTGAATTCCTGGGGCGTGGGACACAAAAATTCATAAGATCCGCGTCCTCGAAGCCGTAATCCTTCGCAAATTACGCCGTATTCGCGTCCCCGAGGCCATAAACCCTCGTACATTACCCGATATTCGCGTCCCCGAAACCATATTCCTTTTTGCAAATCATCCCATATATGCGTCCCCGAGGCAACAATGTAAATTACGCAATCATCGCGCCCCCGAAGCCATAAACCCGTGTAGTTCACAAGATTCGCGCCCCCGAAGCCATCAGAAACCCCCGAAAATTACAATATTCGCGTCCCCAGGCCACAAACCAATACAAAATATACCATATTGGCGCCCCCGAGACCGCAAACCAGTGTAAAGTATACAATAGTCGCGCCCCCGAGGCCATCAACCCTTGTGAATTACTCTGTATGTGCGTCCCCGAGGCTACAAACCTTCGTAAATGACCCAATATTCGTGTCCGCGAAGCCATAAACCATCGTAAATGGCATAATATTCGCGCCACCGAAACCATAAACTCTCGTACATTCATCTTGGCCCTCGCGTGAGGTCCCGACATTGCTTCACGTCAGCGCCCAGACATCCCAACACAGCTCTGACAAGTCCCATTCTAAAAGAGGGGGGCCAGCGGCATGGGGGCGAAGCCCTTACGGATATAAACCATAAACATACACACGTGAACAAAAATATTAGCTAGTGTGGACCACAAACAGTAACTTCGTGCACTGTGGAGGTAACAACTGCGCGGTAGGATGCCAGGGCCTTGGATAAGGACACGACAAGGATGCCAGGGCATTGAAGGCCATTTCGAAGCTGTTCGAGCCGGGCGCGGCCAACGAAAGTGGCCAAGGATGGGCCGAGGAGGCAAGGATGCAAGGGGGGTACCCTTGGGAAGGTAGCCCATCCCTACTATGCGGGGTTGAGTGCACAATGGAACTTGGAGCTGCATTCATACCGGAGGCCGTGCCCCCGCTGCGAACCGCACGGGGGAGGAGGGGGGCGACTTCAACGACTTCCACGCCGACCACGACGACAACGGCACGACGAGGGAGAAGGGAGCAGGGAGCAGGGAGGAGGGAAACGCGGAAGGAGGCGGAGGCACAGGCGGTGGAGGCGAAGGGGAAGACTGCTGATGCAGCAGCAAGAGCAGCAGGAGCAGGGGAAACGAGCCCGAGGGAGGCCATCAGCAGGACGAGGAGGCGCAGGCATGGAGAGGCGGAGCGGGAGGAACCAGAGGCAGAGGGATGAAGAGCAGAAGGAGCAGGCGGGCGGAAAAAAACAGAAAAACAACAACAACAACAACAACAACAACAACAACAACAACAACAACAACAACAACAACACAAACAAACAAACAACAAAAACAACCACAACACCACCAACAACAACAACAACAACAACAACAACAACAACAATCATTTAAGACTGGGGACACTCCGTTCTCACCAGTGCCAGGGTTTTCATAGGAGGCGGGCAATACCCCCACTTTGTGGGGGGGCCGGTTCAAGCTCTACCAAATTTCCATACGACTCTTCGCCACCACCCACACCCAGCTTCCCGCCCTATGACGTTCGGACACTTCACTTCGTGGCATGCGGACGACCGTGGCTACTATTCAGGGCCCCGCGGCCGACGACGACGGCGTGCGCGCGCGAAGAAAAAACGAATGTGTCCCGCATGGTATTATTTGACAGGGATGATGGCCCTGGCAGGTGCGCAACCGTTGTCGCAGAAGTTCGAAAAAGTTGCTCGCAAAAGCCCGTTTGACAGAAATGTTTAAAAAGTGTTGGGTTTCCTACGAATCCGCAAGAGCGCGCGGGATGAGATTTTGACAATTTTTTGTTGAAAAACCATTGGTTTTTTGATGTTTTTATGTTAAAATCGCTGCGAACACTAAGGTTTTGGAAGGATTTCGTCTTGCGCGCGCGAATGTCCACTTTACCTTATTTTTTGCAAGGGATTCTTGAAATTTGATTATATTAGAACAAGAAATGTCATTTTCTATTGTTTTTTGCAAGGGAAAGCGGATTACAACAAAACAACCGGATCCTGTACACACCCTCTTTTCTGAGGCTTCCTCACGAAAATGATGAAAATGTAGCTGCGGCCTAGGCGGCGCAGGGGGGGCGCGCACCAGGGGGCCCAACAATAATTATTCTTTAGAATAAATAATGTTCAACAGCAGCAACAACAACAACAACAACAAACAACAACAACAAACAACAACAACAACAACAACAACAACAACAACAACAACAACAACAACAACAACAACAGCAGCAGCAGCAGCAACAACAACAACAACATCAACAAAACGCCGCAGCAGGACTGAGGAGGAGCGACGGGGGACGAGAAAGGGGGAGGCGCGGGAGGAGCAGGAGGAGGAGGAGGAGGAGGAGGAGGAGGGAAGAGGAAGGGGTAGACCAGAGTAGAGAACTGAGGTCTGCCGGCCAGCCGCTGCGGGCCGTGCTGTGTGCGTGGCACGCGAGGGAGCGCTCGGGCAGACCAGACCGAGGCAGGCACGAAACCAAACTTCAGCACCAAGGTGCAATAAAACAGATGGTTGCTCCACAGAGCTCAAGGAGGGGGAGGAGGAGGGGGAAGAGGGGGAGGAGGAGGAGGAGGAGGAGGAGGAAGTGGAGGAGGAGGAGGAGGAGGACGAAGAGAAGGAGGAGGAGAAGGAAGAGGAAAAGTAGACGGAGAAGGGCTGAAGCAATGCCCAACCCTTACCCAGCAGTTACCAGACATGAACACTACTCTCCTCTCTTCCCCGACTACGTGCTGAAATTGTGTGGGAGGGGTAGAAGGTCAGGTATGGCGCGCGCCTGACTTGATGTGAATACTACTCTCCGCTCTCCCCCGACTGCGTGCGAGCGATTGTCGCCTCTCTTGCGCACAAAGGATCGAACATTGATTGGCATTACAGTGTTGTTCCATGGGGACGTTTTGTGTTTTCAAATGGCGTTCCCATTGCGTGGGCATCGTGTCAGGATCGGCGCGTTACTACTGTGTTTCAGATACGGGCATATGTTGGTCCCACCCTTCTCCGACGTGCCGCTGTTGCCTCGTTGCTCGTCCCGTTGTCTCCGCCCCATTGCCCACAACTCATACACCCGGCCGCGTGCCACCCCCTTTTGCCTCTTCCTACTCATTCCTATACTGCGCACTCTTCCTATGTTCGCGTTGTTTGATCAACTTTCCGATCTCAGCGCGCACGACCGCCATTGATCACTGCCGCCTGCCCGACCTGCCTGCCTCATGGCCGTCACCAGCTGCCTCAGCAGGGTACATGCTTAACCCTATATTCGATGCTGCACGCCCTGGCCACGTATTCAGAGGATGGGCTGGCATACCCGAGAACTGGCCACACTGGCCCACACTTCCCTCGCTGCGTCCGCCCACTGCCGCATTCCTTCCTGCTACCCGACTACCCGCCTGGTCTGACGTCCGTCTCGCCCCTGCCCTTCGCTCGAAATCCCAACGCACTCAGTACCACTCCGTAACTCCGCTTGTGTATGTTGCGCCCCACTGAGGCGATCAAATCCTTCCCTCCGTGGGCACTCGCATCCACATGCGGGACGCCCTCACTCCACTGACTTGTCAGGACACAATCCGTGACTCCAATTGCCTACTAGAACCGCACGCGCGCTCAGGCTTTCCTGCGGTAAGGCCCCCTGTCAAGACAAATCCCGCCCCCTTGGGCAGCCTCTCCCACGTCTGCTCCACAGCCAGAGACGCACAAACCCATTCACCCCTTTTTCTTGTCAGATCGTGAGTCGCCCACCCACAGTGGGACGTCACAGTACCCGACAGTATCATGCTTACGAGACCTCCTCTTCCTCCTGCTCAACCTCCTGATCATGCACAACCTCCTCTTCTTCCTCCTCCTCCTCCTCCTCCTCCTCCTCCTCCTCCTCCTCCGCGTCCTCCTCCTCCTACAATGCACATAGCTCCCGTTCTGATTATGTCATTTGGGGGATCCAGGTCCGCTGGGACCCCCATCGGCGGATAGCGACAAATCAGCACTATGGGAAGGGGGGGAGAATGCCAGCTGTGGCGCGCGTGCGCACCTCGCTTGAACCTCTTCCCTCTCCCGATTCCCTCCTCCACCCTCCTCCATGTTCCTCCTGCTGCTGCGCCTCCTCCCGGTACTCCGCCCGTTCCTCATCCCTTCTTCCGCTCCTCATCGTCCTGCCTTTGCCCCCCCTGCAGTGGGCTGGAACACCCTGGAGCGCCCTGAAGCACCTCGGGTGGAGGAAGAGGATGCGGGACAAGGACGGAGAGGACGGAGGCAGGAGAGCTGAGGGAGTAGACGGCGGAGGAGGGGGGAGAGGAAAGGACGACGACGGCCGCGGCGACGGCGACGAAAAGCCCGTCGCGGTACAGCCTCCCGCGGCTCCATGAGCACGACCGCCTCACGGCGCGCCTTCAGACGCACGAACCGCTCCTCCGCCTCGTCATCGGACTCGTCCTGGGCGCCCGGCGTCGTCGTCGCCGCCGCCCTCGTCGTCGTCGGCGTCGTCGCCGCCGCGACCATGGTCGGCGGAGGACAGCCTGGCCCGGCACAGCACCCACTTCTCGTTCTGGAACCTCCGCAAGGCACTGCAAGACGGCACAGCAAGGCAGGGTACGTGTTTCACGTCCCAGGCACGGCACGCCACACTCTCGCCTTCTGAGACCTGGGCACACCACGGCACAACCGGCGAGCACGGCACGGCAAGTCTGCGGGGCATGGCAGGGCACGGCACGCGGGCACGCCCTCCGCACTTTTCTGGAACCTGAGGAACGGCACCGCACGGCTAGTGCTTCGCACTCGAGAAAACCGATGCACATCACGGCACGGCACACGGGCACGGGCACGGGCACGGCAATCTCGAGAGAAGTCTCCGAGCAGCCCAGACCTTCAGCCAGCACGGGCTCGAGACCACCAGGATACTGGCACGAACTCCAAAGGGTGGCTCTGTGCAGTCTACTCCAAATCCCTGATTACTCGACCCCCCCCTGAAAACCGGACCCCCCTCCAAATGCGACCTAATATTCCGGACCCCCTCTTCGACGGGGCGCCTGCATAAACCGGACCCCCTAAGCTCCAATCCAAAGAAAGCGCCCAAATAAACCGGACCCCCCAGTTACAAAAAAGGCGCCTCAAAAAACCGGACCCGCGGGACGATTGATAAGGGATTTGGGGTACGGGGTGCCATCCATTCAGCCCATTCCTTGGAGTGCAATGCATTCGGGGGTGCATCCAAAGAAATTCAAACTATCCATGGCGCTCCTGCGCAGACGGAATGCAACGGCTCCTGCAGAGGATCCCCCCCATAAAAAACAGTAGCTCCCCCATACAATTCAAGAGGGCCAAGAATAACTCCCCAAAACGACTCAAGAAGGACCCAAGCGGATTACACGCCGCCCCAGGAACATTGCAACACACCTACTCATCCACCTCGTCGTCGTCCGTCCCCGCCTCTTCGTCGCATTCATCCCGTCATCTTCGTCGCCGTCCTCATCTTCTCTCGTGTTGATAGATGGGCTGTGGCCAGTGATATGACGCATGTTCCAAGTACTCCGCACAACCTGTCACCAGCGCCGCATTCACAACGTCGAAGTCACATTCAACGACACAATATCCATCATAATCTTCACTGATATCGTCGTCTTTGTCGTGATAATCCAGCACAGTATTGTCACCGTCTGCGTCGTCAGCGCCGTCAACGTATGTATGCGTTTCATCAGAATCACTGTCATCCTCGCGGCTGTACATCATCGACGTCAAGCGCACTTACACCCACCATCGTGATCTCCCCTTCATCCTCACCATTGCCAAATGTACGTCAGCATCGCATTGATAGTGAGCATCGACTGGGTCCTCAGTACAAGTCGAACCCATACCATGGAGGCCCCCAGTAGTTCTTGGGAGGACGTCAGTGCACGAACGGGGTGATGGAATCCGACGGGTCTACGAATATCGAGGGGTTAGCCGACTTCAGGATGTAGTACGACCTGTCCTGATCACAAGACAAATGGCTCTCACCAAAAAATCCCACAAGAGATCATGCCCAAGATTTGGTCTGAAAGTGGTGCCACGAGGTGCCGTGGAAAGCGGGCTACAACTCCCCCCCTGCGGCGTCGCCTTGGGCGCCTCGTGGGCCGTCTGCGACACCCTCGACACAGGTCGACGAGACCCAAATCGTTTATCCGTTCTGGCTTGTTCGAACGAGGCCTCCAAGATCGCCCCCAGACGGCCCCCTTGTCTCCCCAGAGAGGCTCAAGAAGTCTCAAGGACGGCCCCAAGAGGAGCACAACTCACCTGGCGAAGGACCCAACCATTGCAGCTGTGAGCAACGTAGTTGTATGTACCGCATTCGGAGGAGCTCCCTACAGGGCCACGAAACGTGTAAGGGGTATGCCAAAATGGGTGCGGTGGGCGCATGCGAACGCAGCCACTGGGGCCGTCGGTAAAGCTCCCTCTGGGGCCACCAAATGTGTGAGGGGTGTGCCAAAATGGGTGCGGTGGGCGCGTGCAAATGCAGCCACTGGGGCCGTCGGTGGAGTTCCCTATGGGGCCGCGAAACGTGTGAGGCGTGTGCCAAAATGGGTGCGGTGGGAATATGCGAACGCAGCCACTGGGGCCGTCGGTGGAGCTCCCTATGGGGCCACGAAACGTGTGCGGGGTGTACGGAAATGGTGCGGTGGGAGCATGCGAACGCAGCCACTGGGGCCGTCGGTGGAGCTCCCTCTGGGACACGAAACGTGTGAGGTGTGCAAGAGCAAATGCGGTGGGCGCATGCGAACGCAGCCACTGGGGCCATGGGTGGAGCCCCCTATGGGAGCACGAAACGTGTGAGGTGTACCAGATGGGTGCGGTGGGCGCATGCGAACGCAGCCACTGGGGCCGTTGGTGGAGCTCCCTGTGGGGCCAGGGAACGTGTGAGGCGTGTGAGGAAACAGAGACATGCGCATGGCAGAGGCAAGGATTGGTAAGGTAGGATGAGGGAGGAGAGGGAGGAAGGAGGCGGGAGAGCGGGGCGCTATCTATTCGAAACGAAAGCCCAACACCACAGGATGGTTAGAACGAACGCGCCACCGCAAGACCACAGACCCACCCCCCCAAGATGGACCCAAGAGACTTCCCAGAGGCCTCCAGGTGACTCCCAAGAGGCCCCCAAAAGGCCTCCAGAGAGCATCCACAAGCACCCGACCCAAGAAGCTGCCGAGATACCTCCAAGAAACCCCAAAGAGGCTCCCCGAGAGACCCCACGAGGCCTCCAAAGGCATCTGACAAACGACAGGCACAGTGACGAGACGGGCCGAAGGCCACTGAGTAACATCATATACATTGTGGTGGTGTTTTATGGGGATGTTGTGAAAGACCTGAAGACGACCCACGACCCTGGCGGGCATTGGCTTGCCAGCCTGACCAGGGGGGCGATATCCGTCGGGGTCCGCGCCCAAACTCTCTCTCTCTCCCTCTCTCGTGTTGATTTCACACCGTCTTTTGTGGGCCGAGGGGCCCCCAACACTCGTACCGGTTCATGCCTTGGGTCATGTTTTATAGCCCGTGGGGCCCACAACGGGCCTCCAGCGCTGAGGGCCAAGAAACTCATCGGGAAACTAAAACCTCAGGAGTCATGAATTTCTGTGGCGCAGGACCTGGGAGGTTGCTTTACTTCATGCTCAGTTACGGCACCCGGGGGAGGGCGGGGAGGGCGGGGTGAGCGGGGGCGCGCTGAGATCGCCACGATGC